GGGGAAAAGAAACAAATCACCTATAAAGGAAATCCCATCAGAATCACAGCTGACTTCTCAGCACAAACCCTCAAGTCAAGGAGACTGGAGTAAAGTATTTCCAGTTCTAAAGGAAAACAACCTTCAACCAAGATTGATGTGCATAAAACTATTTCAAAAACTCTTTCAATTCTTTCTTGTCATAGAAATAAGTTACTTCTATGACAAAGAACATCTGAGGAAATTTATGACTGCCAAACCAGCACTCCAAAATGTGTTGAAGTATCCTTCTAGAAAGATAATAAGGGCTACAATTCCATGAAGAAACTTCATGTCCATATACAGAAAGAATCCACCAGGCAAGGCAAACAGGAATAGAGGGAGGGAAGCGGGGGGAAAAAACCTCAAAAAACAAAAAACAGTAACAGGAAAATAATATGACAAGGATAAGTTTATATATACACCAGTTATAACCATCAATGTTAGTGGTCTCAATCTACCAATCAAGACAGACTGGAAGAATGGATCAATAAGCAAGACCTAAAATATGCTGCATAAAAGAAACAAATTTAATTCAAAAATAAATTCACAGACTTAAAGTGAAAGAATGGAAAATACTCCATGCAACAGAAACTCAGATAAAGAGCAGGGATAGCTATTCTATTCCTAGACAAAGTAAATTTCAATCCAAGACAGATTAGGAGAGATAAAGGTCATTGTAACCTTGTAAAGGAAGAGAAATACCATAAATTTATATGCAATAAATATCAGTGCATCCAGTTATATAAAAACAACTGATATTAATGGGCATGAAAAATCATATAAGCACTAATACAATTGTATTGGGGGTTCTCAATACCACACTGTCACAAAAAGATCAACTAGACAAAAAAAAAAAAAATTCAACAATGAAATATTAGAACTGAACCAAACTTTTCAACAACTGGACTAAATAGATGTCTAGAGAGTGTTTCATCCCAAAACATCAGAATACACATTCTTCTCAAGCTGCAGATGGGACATTCTCCAAGAAACCACACATACTACCTCAGAGAACATGCTTAAGTGAAAAAGAACTGAAATTACCCCATGCTTATTATCAGACCACAGCATAATGAAGTTGGAAATCAATGGCAAAAGAAATCACAAGAACTTCATAAACACATGGAAATTAAATACCATGCTCTTGAACAACAATGGATCACAGATAAAATTAAAGAATTACACAGTTTCAACAATTAAGTGATAATTACAATACAACATGCCAGAATTTATGGGACACATATGGAAGCCATCCGAAAAGAGAAATTTATAGCAGTGAATACCCACAACCATGAAAATGGAGCAAGCGCAAACATCGTAATGGTGAACCTAAAAATTCTGGAAGAAGAGCAGAGTAAACCAAAAGCTCATATAAGGGAAGAAATTATAAAGACAGAGCAGAAATTAATGCACTGGAGACTTAAAGTTACAAGGAATCAATGAATTGAAGAGTTGGTTCTTTGAAAAATTAAATAAACTGACAAACTCATAGCTTACCTTATCAAAAAAAGGAAAGATTCAAATCCATACAACTAGGCCTTAAAGTGGTGAAATCACAATAGACCATGAAGAAATCCAGATCATTTATACCTAGTTTGAAAACTTGAGGGCTGGCCAAATAGCTCAGCTGATTAAAGTGCCTGCAAGCAGGAGCAAGGGTCAGGAGTTCAATCCCTGAGCCTGCCATGCTGGTCCCCCGGGGCGTGCTGAGATGGCAATTGAGACTGGGCACAAGACTGTAATCCCAGCTCTTGGGAGGCTGTAAACAGATCACTATGAGTCCAATCTAGTCTTGAAAGAGTCCTGAACACCCTGTAGACCCTTCCCTAAAATCCAAAAAAAAAGTAAAAAAACCCAAACTTGTATTATACTGTAAAACTACTGTGACAAAAACAACATGCATTTGGTACTGGGGGGAAAAAGACACAAATATCAGTGGAACAGATAAAAAAAATGCAGAAACAACTCCAGACATACTCAATCACCTTATCTTTGATAAAGGTGCCATGCATATTCACTGGAAGAAAGCCTCTTTAATAAATGGTACTGGAAAAACTGACTCTGCATTTGCAGAAGATTAACACTGGACCTGTATCTTTCACCATGCACTAAATTCAAAATGGATCAAAGATGTAATATTAAAACAAACATTAAATACACTGGATGATAAAATGGATAAAACTCTTGCAGACATTGGTGTAGGCAAATACTTCATAAATAAAGCTCTGAATATACAGGATCACAGAGAATTAACAACTGAGATCTCATCTTATTAAAAAGTGTTTGCATGGCAAGAGAAATCACCAACAGAATAAAAGGACAACCAACAATGTGGGAAAATATGTTTTCCAGCTGTTTCTTAGACAGATTACTATCAAGAACATATAAAGAAAACTCAAAAAAAAAAAAAGAAGAAAAAAATCATACCTCCCAAATTCAAAGATACCTCCAAATTCAAAATCATACCTCCCAAATCCAAAATTGGGCATCTGAGATGAATACATGCTTCTCAGATGAAGAAATACCAACATCAAAAATATGAAAACATGTTTAACATCACTGGTCATTCGAGAGATGCAAATTAAAAAAATATAGATATATATATATCAAGGTTAAGAGTTATACTACTAATTTCTCTTAGTTCATTGAAAAGAAAGGTTTGTGCTAATATTGTATAGACAATTAAATGCCTATATCTTGTACTCTGAGTTACTAAGGATAAGAATACACAATGCATTAACTATTGTTGCCCTCCTATTGAATTTGCAATGCACAGGATAGGTCCTCTTTACAAAGACCTGAGAATTTTGACCTAGATGTCTCATATTTGTATTCTTCCATTTTCCTAACAGGCTCAATTTTATTGATGTTACTGTAAATATCAGTCAACAAAATGTATGAATCAGATGACACAAAAGAAAATTCATGGTGGAACTGTTTTGGGAGCAAAAAACCCCACACAAAATGTCTACTGACAGAATGGATAGTTACAGGGCTTTTTTTTTTCTGGAACCGGGTCTGAACTCAGGCCCTTGTGCTTTTAAACAATGGAATACTACTACACTTAGTGAAAAAACAGTAAACTAAACAATATGGGGCCAGGGAGATGGCTCAGTAGGATAAGCGTTTGACTGGGAAACGCAAGGATCTGAGTTCAATCCCCTGTTCCGCCAAAAAAATAAAAAAATAAAAAAATAAACAATATGGACCAATATTAGTATTTAATAAAGAAATAAGATTATATTCAGTATAATTGCTTAATAATGTCCTAAAACTAAACACTGTTTATATATATGGTCAGAAGACATGAAGTAGGCAGAAAGGGCAAGGGATACATACATGCACGAATGTAGGATTACTGTCAACGTTTCAGTTCTGGGACTGGGAAATAGGTTCACAGATGTTTGTTATACTACTGAATAAATACGGTTGAGGAGGACCAGGAACCAACCAATGTTAAGTTTATTACACTATTAATTTAATGCATCTATCTGAGGTCATGAAAAAAAATAAAAACTGGAAAAACTATTGAACCATAAAATCCAAAATGGATGCTATACAATAGCAATTACTGTAATAACAACGATAAAGGAGCAATACTTACTGTGCATTTAAGAGCCTTGCCACTGTTTTAAACACTTTCTCTGTATTCTCATTTAATCCTTGCTACTAATTTAAGGTCTTATACTTGTATGTACATCTCACTAACAAGACCGAGGTTATGTAACTTTCCCTACATCCCTAGTTAAATGTGGAAGAGCTGAGATTTAAATTTGGCTCTGGAGCACAAATTCGTAACTACTCCTTCATGCGACTGCCTTGACCAGAAATACAGAACTATATTTGCTTTTGCAATCGTCTTCGGTTAGACTTTTGATGACTAGTTTGAACCTGCCCTGCTGAAAGGCAGTTTTTCCTTGAGTAGGTTACTTAACCTCTGCTTTTTCTTCTCACCCCAAGAGACAGATGTAGTACGGGTCTCATGGAGTTATTATCCCGACTAGGTTATATCTAAAAATAAAAAGAACAGTCTTAGCACATATATATCACCGCTGGCTATTACTATTAGCCGCTAATAGTTTCTATTAGGATTATCTTCGCTTTGGGGATTTTCTTTCTTAGGAAGCATAGCACTCTGCCGGGGCAGGTCCTCACCGTGACTTCCAAAAGGGGTATTTTGCACCTCTCTGCCTGAGTTCACACACTACAGAGTACTTAAGCTTCTCTCAAACTCTAAAAACTAGAATTTGAGACAGCTGATCCCTTCAGTCATTTCACCCCGGTGTTCCTAGAAAACACAACCTAATATGAGAAACACCTACAATCAGGGTTGTAGCAGTTAATTAGGCTAAATACAGCTAAAGTGATTTTTGCACATTTTTACAACGACACTTTCTCCTGCTTACTCCCGACATTAAGTACTGTGTTTACTGAACTTTTGACCACGTATTAAACGCCTAAGAGGACATGTACTTTCTGCCCAGCGCCCTCAATTCTGCGGTACCCTTATGATAGATAGGGTCCCTCACTCTGTCAGGCAGAACGCCTCTTTGGGCCCCCCAATACTTTTACATCACGGGACTGATTTCTCCTCATGAACCATTTTCAAACTTAACTTGCTTTAAACAACCTAACAGCCCTCGGATTTGTTAAATCCGCCTTCGGGGGTCCCACACTTTCTCCACTCCAGCGTCATAATCCCAGGCACAGTAAAATGTGTGTTCACTAGGGCGCGCATCCCGAGCCTGGGCTCTACATCTTTAATCCCGGCAGTTACTCAGTTTCCAACCCACGTGGCTGGCAAAATGAACGAGCTTCATCTGCTTCCCCTGAGCCGCGCCAAGGGAAGTGGGGGGCCCCATCCCCAGCACAGCGGGGCACCGCCCTGACTGGGGCCCCGCGGCGGACCGCAGCTCGCGGCCTCACGGCAGGCGCTCCGTGACTCTCGGATGCATGACTGTGCGGCCCGGAGCCCCGGCCGTCGCTTCCAGCGCCCCGCCGAGCCCGCATAGCCTTCCCGGCGATACCTGGCGCCCCTCCCCGCCGGGCCTGCGCTTCCCGCCGCCGCCGACCATCCTGCAGCTGCGGCGCCCACCCGCAGAGCCTCGCCTTCCGGCTGCCTCCGCGCTCAGCCGAGTACTTCCGGGTTCAGAAGCCACCAATCCGCACGCCCGCGCCAAGGCGGCGCGCGCAGATACAGGGAAAGCTCCGCCCCTGTCCTCCCCGAGGCCCCGCCCGCCACCCCGCTGGCGAATCCGCGCCTCGCGCGCCCCGACACCGCCTCCCAAAGCAAAGCTTGCGAGACCCTTGAGGACGGTTCGGGGTAGCAAACGCGGGGTTCGCCTTCGTCCTCCGGCGTTTACTGCCGCCGGAGTTCAATGTGTGTCGCCGCCCTCGCTTCGGCCTTAAATTCATCCCCCTCCCTCCCTAGTGTATTTATTACCTACTGCGGATTCATCCCGTTATGTCTCAGGAGTGAATCCCACCTGTGTCGTGCGATGTAGACCCGCCACACCAGCACCTTGAGGGATCTGCTAAGAAGGCGGAATCTTAGGCTCTGCCCACATGTATCGAATCAAAAACTGCATGTTAGGGTAAAAAAATAAATAAACCCCTGCATGTTAGGGCCGGCAAGAGGGCTCCGCGGACTAAAGAGCTTGCTTAGGCAGACGCAGGGACTGAGGCTCCATCCCAGGCACCAAAAGAGGTGCCCCTCCCCCACACCGTGTGCTGAGACGTGTTTGAGACTGGGCGTGGTGGAGCGCCTGTAATCCCAGCCTGTAATCCCAGCGTTTAAGAGGCTGAAAACAGAATCTCTGAGTCCAATCTGTGTAATGAGATCCTGTAGACCCCGTGCTAAATACGTAAAAAACCCTCCTGCATTTAAATAAGATTAAAGTTCCTCTGCACCTCAAAGTTTGAGAGGCCCTGCTCTATCGCAGACCTCCTAGCAAGGTCCGGTGCCTCATCCTTGAGACAGATTCTGCCTGTGCTCCCTTTGCCCTCATTTTATACTCTCCTTTTGTCATTTTGTGGAACGTGTCGTCCAGTAGTGGCCCTCAGCCTTCGCACCGAGATGGAGCACCAGCCCTTTTAATTTTTATTATTTTAACATTGTTTTAGTCAGGCAAGTAGCTGTTTCAAACAAATAAGGACGAGCCATGAGTAAAATCCAGTCCGTGATTTTGAGTTCCCTTCAAGCTCGGCATCAGCCTGAAACTGCTGGGAATTCCTGCACCTGTTTCCGAAGCAGCAGCTCGACCCTGGGTATGCTGAGTGCCACTCTGGGTCCCCACACCTCCTGTAGGATCTAGTTAGTGACAGCAAATGGCCCTTTAAAGCAAATAATTCGTAACCCAGGTGACATGCATTTGTAAATTCGTGCTCTCTTTGACGTGACAGCACGTCTCTCCAGGTGTGGCTACTCCCTCCACCCCCAGTCTTGCGTATCTGAAACTCTCTTCGGGCTAAGCAATGAGCATTGGAGGGATTGCTCCAGCATTTTAGCTCCCAGTATACTTGAGAAACGCTATGCCATCGTGCTTTTTATGTTTTCCTCGTAAGTGGCTAATTTCTTTATATATAGCTTATTTTGTTTCTGTTTCTTTCCCTTCAAGAAAGTTTAGAGTTGTTTTGAGGTACCAGGGATTGGACTGGGGACCTTGAGCTTTGCGAGGCAAGCGCTTATGCGGCTGAGCTAGACCGCCAACCCTCATGGTCGTTTCTTAATTTCCAGGCTCCTAAGAGGACACACACCTTGCATACCTTGGTTGTGGGTCTCTCTGTCTCTTGAACTCACATTTGGTCAGCTGTTTTCAATCTTGATACACATATTCTTTTATTTGGGGAAGTTTTCTAGTATTATTGTATGATTTCCTCTGTCCCATCCCTCATCAAATTTCTTGATCAGAAATTATTCGTGATATTTTATTTATTTATTCGGTTAGTCATTCAGTTATTTTGTTAGGGAGCTAGCTTATTGGAACCGGGCATCGAACTCAGGATGTTGCACTTGCCATGCAGGCACTTAAGCCGCTGAGCTATCTCCTCAGCAATGAGAAATTATTCAGATGTTAAACTTTCTGGACAAGTTTTTCTTATCTGTTCTAATTATTTTCTTGTCATCTTTTTATTTTACTTTCTGTGTGTCTTTTTCAACTTAGATGACTCTATCAAATTATTTTATTTCTTTTATTATACCTGCATTATAAGTGCTCTTTTTATAGTTTTTATGTCATATTGTTTTTTTTCAGAAATTTAGCTTGTTTTATCTCCAAAGACCTAAATTATATGTTTTTTTAAAAGGCTTTCTATGTAACTATTGATTTTAATTCTTTTGAGTCTTTTTTGACTGGTTGGTTGATTATTTATATCTCATCTCTGTCCTTTATGCTGGAGGCCTTTCTTAACTTGGGTGGCCATCCTTGCTCTCAATTCATATATAAAAGTGATTATCTGCAAACTGTTGTAGGGGCTCAGACACAGCCTCTCAACTATAGACAGGGGCTATAATAATGTCTGGCTTTTTCCAGAGAATAATCTCCTTTCTTGCTTGAGAATATACTATTTCCTTGAAACCCAGTGGGGGAAAAAGCCTTGGAATCTTAATGATGTCTTCCAGGTGAACAGAGCACTGTTCTGGGCTCTGGGCCTCCAGTTGGATTGTCATAGGCTCTAAGTGTTCAGCTGGACTTGTGTAGGACATTGCTGTGGGATCTGGACCCCCAGCTGTACTATTTGGGTCTCTAGTGTGTGGACAGATTTCACCCACTCTTTTTCATTTAATTCTTTGGATGAATATTATAAAAATAATCCTATAAATTGTGTGTCCTGTATTAAATCCCTTCCCTTATAAATTCTAACTACAAGGAGTATTTCTTTCCAACCGTTATGTACTTAGAAGATCATGGATGTCCTATGTATCTTGTTAAATAAACACTGTTTTCTGCATTTGCTATAAGGTCTGCTGATAAAAACAAGTCATGGTGCCACTTAGAATGTCAGGTCTTGGAGTGCAGCTGGCTATCAGCACTAAGTCATTTAATGGTAGGATGACCACATGGGGCAGTACAGGTACAAGGAATTACAGGGTTAATACAGTTTTATTCCTAAGGCTCTCAATGGCAGAAAACATTCATCCTAGCAATCAGGATGATGGATGAGTCCCCTTGAGGAAGCCTATATTGGTCACTTTCCTGTCCTAGGACACAATATCTGATACTTATAACTTGAAGAAGAGGTTTAATTTGGCTCATGGTTTTGGAGGTCCATGGTTGTCCTGCTCCAAGGCCAAAATGTAGTGGCAAACAGAAACACCAAAATGACACCCAAGATTTGGAGGCAGATTTATTTTACATGGATGGGCACTGACTGGGATCACTTCCAAAATATCAGGCCCTGATCTCTGGCAGTCTAGTGCTCATATGGGATAAGCAAGCAGGAAGTACAGAGGCAGAATGGCTTCTCAATTGGGGATTGGTTTCTACAGTGGGAATCACAGTGACCAGCTGTTCCTAAGACAGAGAGGCAACCAGAAACTATTACCCGGGCAACTAAGAAACTGAAGTATACTGGCTGAGAGAGTGGGGGCATTTTCTGTTACAGAAATGGCATGACACAAGTATGTGTTGAAGGAAAGCAGCTTATCCCAGTGCAGCTAGGAAGCAGAGAGAGAGAGAAGGAGCCAAAGAAAAGCACTTACCCTTCCAGGTCACACCTCTGGTGACCCACCTCACCACCTAACACATGAACTCATCAATAGATTAATTCTTTGATAAGTACATTGCCCCCACGATCACCTTCCAAAATCACCTCCCAAAAGCACCACCTCTGAAACATGTGGACCTTTGAAAGACAGTCTAAGGCCAGCAAGATAGCTCAGCGGTCTAAAGTGCCTGCTTAGGCAAGCTTAGGCAAAGCATAGGAATGGAGGTTCTGATCCCCAGCACCACACACTGCACCAGCCCTGCCCCCAGGGTAGGCTGAGCCGGCCACAAAAAACAAAACAAAACAAAACAAAACAAAACAAAACAAAACAAAAACAAACCCAAAAAATGACACTCAAGAGGTAAACCATAACGAAAGCTATGGCCCATCCCTGCAGGATAACATCAGCTTTCAGGAGACCCAGACTCTTGCAGGGCATTCCAATTCTCAACATATCCTGTAAAATATAACTCCTTCTAGAGGATTTTGAGAGTAAGGGACTTAATTACAGGATATGGGTGATTGTGCTAAAGTCCAAGCAAAAGAAAGTGTTTAAAGGGTGAAACTTGGTATAAATTCCCAGGTTAAAAGCCAGTAGGAGCTTCAAGTGTAGCTGACCTCACGTGGCTACCATACAAAGCAGCTGCAAATGAGCTGTAGCATTAACCTTTGACACCATAATTTGACCTATCTGGAACTACTTGACCCTGAAAAACCACTCAAACAGTGACACAACTGTTCCACCCACTGTGCTTGCTCCAGATTGGCAGTCTTGGCACTAGCACTAGCTGGATGACCCAAACACATCTTAAAAGGTTCCTGATGTTCCTCAGTCTTCATGTTTGCACTGGATGAAATGTAGAGCCAATTCGCTACTGCAGTTTTTCCTTCCCAGAATGTCTTGTGTAATCTAACTCCAAGCAAAAGCTGGCATGTACTGAGTGCTCAATAAATACAGTATTAATTGAATAGTGATCACCCACAGTAAATACACTGTAATTCATCCTCCCCCCATTCAGTCATTTATTCATTTGTATTAAGCATCAATTATGTATCAGAACTATTAGCATTGGCAAGACTAAGATGTTACGTTTGCTGTGTCCCAGGTAATTAGCGTGTGCTGGAGAGCAACAAGGGCAGCATAGTTAATATTCCTGTTAATCACATGAAAAAAGAATAAGAATTATGTGTCTTTATCACATTCTAATCTTCTAGATCCATGGTTCCAGGTCAGTCTTCCCAAAAAAACCCTGTTGTAATTATTGAACTCTTTGAATATCACAGAGATCATCAATCCTGAAATCCAGGTAAATACATAGCATTATTACTGGGAAGTCACAAATGACAGAACAAAGGATAGTATGTTGGGAACCGAGGTAAGTTAATACAAGGAGTTTACTAGTTGATGATGGAGGGAGGATAAAAGGCAGCAACCAAGATTGAGGACT